TATTATTACAAACTATAGTAGTGGAGTGGCATTAGTAACATAAAACCAAACACACAATTAAAGTGCCCTGCCCAAGGGCCACGCATTTACTTGTCATTAACGATTTGAATAACTGTCATGCAGCATGGTCCAAAGCAGACCTGCTCATGAGGCTCACCTACAACAAGGGTTAACGAACCCTGAGTACAAAAGTACTCAACAAGACTTAACCGAAGTAAAAATAGATAAAACGCAGGAATGCAGGCTCAGGGATTCAAAGTATGGCTTTAGCAATAATTAAAATTCTTTTGCGTAAAAGCTCTCTAACAAGATTCTTTCATTCAACATTTAAAACTTCATAAAGATCATATATAAAGCTGACATGATCCATATTGAGATCATGAAATTCCATATCAAACTCTTTCTCAAATCTTACTCCAGTTTCATTTGTTAACTATGATGGTGAACAGTGAGTTGAGTCTCCATAATCAAGGAGCAACGACGATTCGAATCGATAATAACCCAGCTGGGGATTCCCAACCACACGACATATGCAGGTCCCCGACCTCCATATATCAACCTACCCTCAGATCCTCTAAAACAAGAACGGGTCCGCGCCAGCCGAGAGCACAGTACTCCACTAATCTAGCCCATTGCCACGTGGGTACACGCTACTCCCGCCATCTCTCCACTCCCAGTGCGCGAGTAGCCATTCTCGAAATAGAATAGCCGAGTTAAGGCTTACCGGAGTATGTGGCCGGTAATACAAAGTCTCACCTCATGCAATTCAACAATGGACGGTTCTTAATCGACACAGGCGGAAAGAACCCGCTCACAAGACCTCCATGTCCTGTGGCTCTCACACACCAAGTCCACTCGGTCTAGATTTATTACTCCACATGCTCATATCTCATGATAACATAATTAACCAGTCGTAACCAAAGATCTTGTTATATCTCGCAGGTGATAGGTAATCACCCGACTTTTGTCTGTCTAAGCATGGCTAAGCATAACTAGGCATTCTCGAAGTAAAACTGGTAACAAGGTTGATATGGAAAAACAAGGTTGGTAATGCACCAACGAGAGTTGCACTCAACTCCTAATCACTTAATGCAGTACTTGGAAGTAAAAGCGATATAAATTTGTAAAACACAAGGTAGGTTTAAATGCATCCGGGGCTTGCCTGAGACCCGACATAAGTCAGTTCAGTTAGCTTGCACCGTCTTGATGACATCTCCGGTCCTAGCACTTGCTTAGTCCTTCCATCTTCGGGATAGATCCACCAAATCCAATCTTCGAGTTCGGCTCCACATCACATCCTTCACGTGGTTCATCTAGCGTACCTAAATGAGATGCAAGATGCATGTGTATGAATGTGTTGAATGGTAACACAAGATGCATCACATAAGCATTCAAGACAAACACAAGATTATACAAGACATAGACATCAATAGCTATTTAACTAACATCACACAACTAACTATAGAGAGCAAGCACATCAAGCATGACACAAGTTTAACAAGGTCACAAGTATCATAACTTGACCATCAACAAGGGCATAAGCCACACTTAGCAACACATGGAGTAAACAACCACAACTAGCACATGTCTATTTCTGGACTGGAAACAACAGCTTCATGTTTGGATCATAACTAGAGTTATACAAATCCAATAGCCATGCAACAAGACATTCTAGAAACATTATGAAATTTTCTACAACTCATCTTTAATCATCTTAGCATGATTCTCAAGTTAACTAAGTCAAATATACCCATTTACAGAAACTAGTCCACAATTGACAGAGAGCAGCCATTTCTGAAACCCAACTTTAAACAGGCATAACTCACAAACCATAAGGCCAAATACCACCAAATTTTAACAGCAGCTAGATACATGAATTATCTACAACTTTGTTATTAACAAGTTTCCCAGAAAACATCATTATCATGATGTAATCCAAACAGTTCCAAAAACTGTCCCGAAACAACAATTGCAAGAAAATAATTATTAACTCATGTTTCAAACATGCACCTGGGCAAAACCATTTCCACCAACATGTTCCATATATCAAATGAACACCAGAAAACATAGTGTCCACCACCAAATAAATTCTTTCAATACATTTCTTAATTTATCTGAATAATAAGTAGAATTAAAGAACATATAATAAAAGTGCACAATAAAATCTACAAAATTTATAGTAGCTTTCACATACTATCAATAGACTACTGTACAAATTTCAGGCCATTTGAACACGTATAGCAACCTCTATGGAAAAATACCAAATGCTAATGCAAGAAATCATGTGAGAGCAAGATAAACCAATAACTCACTAATACAACAACCAATGAGCATGAAATTTTTATCACATATCAAACATCACATGAGTAGCATGCCATAAAAATTTCACTTCATTTGGAGCCCTACATCTGTAGTTATGAAAAAGGACAAATACAACTAGCATTAAAACTCTAACTGCACAAATCTATTTTTACAGCTAAAACTTTAAACTAAAACATGACATATTATAGATCTATTGCATAGAAAATTTCACAAGATTCCAAAAAGTCCCCATTTGTTATTTTACGATTTTTCTATGGTTTTGTACGAATTATCAAAGTTCAGCAAATTTCAAAGCAAACAGGTCCAAAAGGCACTATTCACATGAGTCTGCGGTTCACAGAAAGGCCCCTCCCTATTCCTGAATTCGAAGCCGAGGTCCCTGATCACGATTTTGAAGAACAGAGGACGCTGGAGAGACTCGATTTCCGGCCGGCTGGCGCTCGTAGGAGGCGAGGGAGAGGTCCTAGAGCAAGCAAGGGCCTGTGCACACCCGTGTGTGGACGAATTGTTGCCGGAGATGGCCGGTGAAGGGCTGCTCACGTGCACCGGTGACCTGCAGCAGCGGACATGGCGGCAGGCTGCGCTCCGACGTGTCCTGTGGATAAGACGATCAACCGGTTTGCTTGTGAGCATCACGGCACAGAGGTAAGCGCAAAACAAGAGAGAGAAAGGAGTGAGAGTAGCCGGAGTAGGCCGGCCACGGTGAAGCGAGGCTCGGTGGAGCTGCGGCCGGCAGTGAAGGAGACGACGGCATCTGGCTGATACTGATGAACTGGGATGGCTCGAGCGGTGTCAGCTGAAGCGCAAGGGCTATGTGGAGCTAGCTGCACACGCAATTGGATGGGGATGGAACACGGACGGCGAATTTCGTCGGGGTGCAGGAGGTGGCGATGTCTGAGCAGAGAAAGAAGAAAGGAGAAGACAACGGCCGGCTCTGTGTCTCAAGAAGCGAGGAAGGGCATACCAACTTGACTAGCGACGTTTTGAGCTGGCCGCACGGTTGATTGCACGTCAAGGCTCGAGAAACGCCCAGAGGGCCACGCCGACGCCGGTGAACAGAGGGAGAGAAGAAGAAGACGGCACCGGCACTGTTCATACTGACAGACTCTACTCTTCCCTCTATTTCTCACACATCCGATCAGCAACTCCATTAGCTCCTTTAACCAAAGTTATTCACCTAGATGAGATGTCCAACATTGCTTTAAGGACCAAACTCTAATTCTTATTGGTTTAAGAGATTTTTAATTTAGAAGAGAGGTACTTGAAACTGTAAAATTGAATTCAGTTTTAGAATTTCAAAAACAGTTTGATTAACTATTTTTGGTAATTAATTAATGATTAAACATAGATCAAACACTTCAACCAATATCACAGTTTCAAGGTACAAATTTCATACCAATCAATGAAACAAAAGGTGTCTAACTTTTATCTGTGAAAATTAATTTAATAATTCCCCAAAAATTGAACTCTATATCAAATTTTCAGGGACTTAGGCAAAACAACTAAGTATGAGAGGTAGTTATTAAATTCAATATTTGAGCTTAAATTTGAACATGATTGATTCAAAAACACAACATCTCTTTGATTCTAATGTAAAGTATCAACTTAGCACTTCAAACTTTATTAAGAAAAGATTTTAATTGTTTAGGAGATTTTCACACCAAAAATTCACAAAGTTTCTTAATCACTATTATTAACATTATTTCATGTAATATATAAAACACTTCATAACAACATTTACATGCTATAAATTAAATATGAAATGCATTAATAACTTGATGCTTGATAATTATACATAATGATGATCATGATAAAAATTTTAATTACTTTTTAACATCTGGGATGTTACACAGCCCGGCCAGACGGTGTGGGAGGACGGCATTAGGATTTCGGTGGCCAGAAGAGGCGGCAGGTCCGGGCAGGGGTGCCCATGGTCATCGAGTGTTTCTCTCACTCTCAGCACTCCCTCTCATTCTTCTCCATTTCTGGCCTCTCTATCTCTTCTTCTGTAACTTTGGCGGGCTTAGAAGAGGCTTGGGGGTGGCAGGCCAACGAGACAGTGGGGACGGCGAGAGGACGGTGTTAGGATTTCGACGTCGGAAAAGACGTTAGGTCGAGGCAGGAGCGTCATGGCCATGGCGGTGATGGCAGGGGAGGAGGAGGCGGAGGCCGCCGCGGGCACCATAGGCACTGGGAATTTTATTACGAGTCTGTACGAGGCCTGCTAGGTGCTCTCACACGCTGACACGGGCCGTGCTCCATTGCGCGTCCGCGAGCGAGCGTGGCCGCGCGGCTGTGAACGACGCTCGCGGCCGAAAGCGAGGCGCACAACGGCCGCACTCGCACCGCAGAAACGCCCAAAAGCCACCGAGCGGCCACCGCACCAGTCTTTCTTGCTGCCGTCGCTTTCCTGCGCTCCCACGCTCCCACCATTTCACACCTCCCCTCCCTCCCCTCCACGGCTTCGCTCGCTCACCCGCCCAAAGCTCCCGTCCCGAGGGTTTCAGGTCTGTTGGCCCCTAGCTCCTCGTCCGCTTCCCGGGCCGCCGCTTTTAGGTGTGACTTCCGCATCTGGTCCTGACGGGGATCGCTGGTTTCTTCCTCCAGAGATCGCATCTCTGGTCCGCGGGATCCGATGAGATGCGCGGGTACTCTCGCAGTCCGAGCTCGTAGCAGGCATGGCTGAACCGGCCGCTTCTTCGTCTTCGTCCGGATCCTTCGCCGCGCGCCGCCTACATGGCGCCGTCGTCTTCAGGGACGCGGCGCTCCCGTACAGTGGCCTCGCCGCCGCACCCCCGCCACCTCTTCCGCCGGTGCAGGTGCAGGTTGCGGCTTCCGGCGCCGGCGCCGGCGCCGGCGGAGGCGGAGGAGGAGGGAAGATTAGCCCCGCGGTGCTCTTCATCGTCGTGATTCTCGCGGTGGTGTTCTTCATCTCCGCCCTGCTCCACCTCCTGGTGCGCGTCCTCGTGAAGAAGCAGCACCGCCGCGGCGGCCGAAGGGGCACGGCGTCGTCGTCGGCGGCGGCGGCGGCGCGGGGGGCTGGAGGGGAGGCCGGCGGGGCGGACGTGGCGCTGCAGCGGCAGCTGCAGCAGCTGTTCCACCTCCACGACTCCGGGCTGGACCAGGCCTTCATCGACGCGCTGCCGGTCTTCGCCTACCGGGAGATCGTTGTAGGCGGCGGCGGCGACGGGGACAAGGAGCCGTTTGACTGCGCGGTGTGCCTGTGCGAGTTCGACGCCGAGGACCGGCTCCGCCTGCTGCCGCTGTGCGGGCACGCCTTCCACCTCAACTGCATCGACACGTGGCTGCTCTCCAACTCGACCTGCCCGCTCTGCCGCGGGGTGCTCTTCGTCCCGGGGCTCATGGGCGAGGACAGCCCGATGTTCGATTTCGAGGAGAGGCTGGAGGAACGGCGGTTGTCCGAGGACTGCGACGACGGATTTGGATTGCCTGGGCTGAAGGCTTCAGGGTTGGCACAGACACCGGTGGCTGAGAAGAAGGTATTCCCCGTGAGGTTGGGGAAGTTCAAGAATGTCGGAACCCAGGGTGCGGTGGAAGGTGGCAATGCCAATGCCAATTCCCGTGTGTTGAGTAGGGATCAAGGGGAGAGTAGCAGCAGCAGCTTGGATGGAAGGAGATGCTTCTCCATGGGCACCTATCAGTATGTTCTTGGCACTTCCGAGCTCCGGGTAGCTCTCCAGCCTGGCCGGATTAGAAATGGCGCTGGTGGTGCAATGAGGGCAAGACCTCCTGGTTTAAGTTCGATCAATGCTGATATTATGGAGGGGAAGAAGATCTGTGCACGCAACAAAGGGGAGAGTTTCTCCGTGTCGAAAATTTGGCAATGGTCTAATCTTAAGGGCAAGCTACCTGCTGGTTCGGATGAATGTTCGGATGCCGGGAGCCTTCCATGGACGAAGAGAGGAGGTGCTGCGGATACATCAAACTTATGACTCTGTACCAGTGTAATGTGATAGTAGCCTTTCTTTAGTTAGTGTTGCTCACCTGAGTTCTTACCTGTAGTCATTTTTATTATCTAATTTTCATGTGCTGATTTTGATTGGAGTGCCAACCTCATTGGGGGCTTAACTTTTGGTAGTCTTGCCATGTTAGTATGTTGCACCATGTAGATTGTGATGACTTAGAATGATCTGATTCTGGTCTGCCTAATATTTTGTGTTGGGTCTAATGTATCATTTATTCCTCCATCCAAAATTATAGGTCATTGTGGCTTGCTCCTAGATACGCTATGTCTAGATCAGAGTATAGTTGACATTGACCTGTGACTTCTCCACTCCATTCATTTGACAAATATTCATGGGAAAACATTTACTACTATTATGGGTTACTATTAGATGTATCATAGCATAATTTAACTGTCCGTGCACTAGTAAAAGTAATTGGCTTCTTTAAACCCCTGTTTTACAATTTTTTTTTTTTTTTGTCCTCTGGCAATCTAGTCATATTTTTCTAATATTTAGATGGAATTGCATCATATTCCCATGAAAGTGGCTATCAACTGCTAAACAATTCTTACAGCATCGAAATCTTAAGGTGGTGTTTTTTTAACTCAAATGAATTAAGGTAACGTATTCACTTTAGTTTCCTTAAAAATGACGTCTTTTGCCCTTTATGATTGTGAGTGAGTTTCAGATTCTCTAGTTCAGATACTATTGCCTGCTATTAAAGAGTGTTTTTGACTCGTAAGCAGAACAACATTCAGTATTTCATCTTGTTTTTAGCTTTGTGTTGAGTTAGAAACATCATAAATTTTGAATTATGGTACTAAGAATATATGTAGTCATGATATTCCCGCTTCATCCTTGTGACAAGCAGTTGAACACTGCGATTGACATGCACCGGAAATTCTAATGATTAAGCCTGCATTCTCAGACTAAACATGTCATTTGCTTTGGTTCCCCCAACTAAAGTTTAGTCACTGTCACATCATCAGATGTTTGACACTAATTTGGAGTATTAAACATAGACTAATTACAAAACTAATTGCACATATTGAGACTAATTTACGAGATGAATCTATTAAGCCTATTTAGGCTCATGTTTAGTCTTTCTAATTAGTATATAAATATCCGATGTGACATCTACTAAACTTTAGTCCCTGGATCCAAACACCCGGTTATTCTGTTGGTCATCTGCTACCTTTCTCAACGTCTCTTCCTTTGAGACCACTTTGTGAAGTTTACAACCTCTCTTTCAGGAATCTCTTTTCTCAAAATAATGGAAAAGGTTAGGATGAGCTGAAAGAAATCCCTGGGCAGCCAGAAGCCCATAATGCTCGAATTATAGATGTACTATCAACATTCAGTATTGCTTTATGTTTAGTATATATATATATCTACAGATAACACTTGCATGTCTATTTTCTTACCATTCTATTGTAGTATCAATGTTTCTCAGTTGCTCTGGTTTTGCTGTTACTCAATTCCAATTTGTAGCATGTAATTCGTCATTCGATTTCCCTGTCTGTCAATTTTATGATCCACAAAGGTGTTAAGATATTTAGCTGGCAAGTTGGTAAAGGGGAGCTAACACCTTTTGCGTTGGTGCTCCATCCCTGTGGAAGGTGTGACCATTTGGTCCCTGTCATCTCTCCCTTTTCTGCATCGATATCCAATCGTGGTGGACTACACACGGTGCCCACGCTGAGTGGAACCAAGGAGTTTTCATGGTACAGTAAGTATTCTGATGAGATAATAAAGGGCAGTGCTTTTTAGTGAAGTGGAACTCTGTCATGTAATGTGTCTCTTCTCCTTCATTGTTAATTTTGTATCCAAAAAAGCATTGTGAAGTGCTTGCACCAAATGACTCCACTAAATCAGATGTGCGGGTATCATGCTCCATATTCTGTAGTGTTGTAGACGCTTTCATTGGGAAGCAATACAGCAGGAAGAAGAAGAAGGCGACAGCCTCTAGTGGCTAGTTTTAAGCCATAGTTATCTTTTCCTATAAGTTAGAATCTGGGAGCCAGTTTGTTAGTAAGTTTGTTAGTGTCCAGCCGGCCATTGGGAGATATAACAAAGGGCCGGCTGATTAGGGGAGTTAAGCAGAAAATAGAGCCATCTCGTTCAGAGCCTCCCAGGGAGGGCGAACCTGCTCTATCGCTGCTGCTATCTCTAGGTTTAGCCATTGTAATCATTTCCAGTTCATCAATAAAGATCAGCCAGATTACTAGCTCTATCATCTGGTATCAGAGACCTCTCGATCCTCTCGCCTGTCATGGGTGACGAACTCAAGACCACTCTGGATGCCATCCTCGCCGATCTCTCCTCCATCAAGAACGAGGTGACGACGATCAAGGGCGACCAGAGCCATCTCAACGTGGCCGTCAACCGACTGCAATCGGACCACCACTCCTCCGGCAGCTCCCACAGTGGCAAGGACATGGAGCATGGCGCCCCTCCCCCACCACCCCCACGCGAGCAAGGGAAGCACAAGCTCCGATTTCCGCGCTACGACGGCAGCACCGATCCGGTCACATGGCTTCACAAGGCGGAGCAGTTTTTCCGCGCCGATCGCACGGCGGATGACGAGCGCGTGTGGCTCGCCTCCTTCTACATGGAAGGCGCTGCCCAGGACTGGTACTACCGCCTGGAGCAAAACCACGGCGCTCCAACGTGGCCGGATTTCATTGACAAGATGCAGCGGGCGTTCGGGACGCCGGCGCGTAGCAACCCGCTTGGCGCCCTCATGAAGCTCCGCCGCATAGGGACGGTCGAGGAGTACAAGGTGCAGTTCTTTCCCATGCTCGCGCGCTGCAGGCCGCTTTAGGAGCAGGACCAAATCGACATCTTCACCGGTGGCCTCTGCAATCCGCTACAGACGGACGTCGAGCTCCAACATCCGACCACGCTTGATGACGCCATGGCCCTCGCGCGGGCTTTCGAACGGCGCCTGGAGTTGGACGAGGCGAGACTCCTCTACGAGCCACGCCCCCACCCGCACCAACCCGCCGATTCGCCGCTGCGCCCGCCGCGACTTCCGCACCGCGACACGCCTCTCCCGCGGCCAAAATCAGGCTGCAGACGCGCCGGCTCCAACCAAAGGCCCACCTCCAAAGAGGGCAGCATGCACTTCAAGCGGCCGACACAAAGAAGAGATGGCTCAACGCAGAAAGCGAGAGGGCCTCGCTTCAACCGAAAAAAATTCACGAAGGACCATGCCTGCATGAAGAAGGGCCTGTACCTGATGGAGCTCGATGATGATACACCAGTTGAGGACGCTGCGGTGGAGGAGTCTTCCCCTACCGACGACGTCGAGATCTCCATCCACGCCCTCACCGGCATCAAGACGGCGGACACCATGCACCTGGCCACATCCGTCGCAGGCACATCCATCCGGGATCTGGTGGACTCGGGATCCACTCACTCCATCGCCGCAGATACTGCACGTCGCCTCGGCCTCCAGCCCGCGCTGTGCCCCGGCCTCACCGTGGGCGTTGCCAACGGGGAACGCGTCCCATCTGCCGGGGTCTGCGCCGCCGTCCCCGTCACCATTGGCACCGAGGAGTTCCACATCGACCTCTTCGTCTTGCCCCTCCCCGACTACGAGCTCGTGTTGGGCTGCCACTGGCTCCGGTCCCTGGGCCCCATCCTCTAGGACCTCGCCCGCCAGACCATGGCGTTCTGGCGCCAGGATCGCCACATTCGCTGGACTGGCGTCACAGCCCCCAGGGCCCCTGCTCTCCACGCCGCCGAGCGCCTGGACCTCCTCCAACTGCTCCTGGCTAAGTTCGGCGATATCTTCGACACACCGTCGTCACTGCCTCCAGTTCGTGCCTGTGATCATCGGATTCATCTCCTACCAGGCACGGCCCCGATTGCAGTACGGCCCTACCGCTACCCCCAGCTGCTCAAAGATGAGCTGGAGAGGCAGTGCACCGACATGCTCTAGCAGGGCATCATCCGCCCAAGCACCTCGGCGTTCTCATCGCCCGTCCTCCTCGTGCGCAAGAAGGACAACTCATGGAGGTTCTGCATCGACTATCGCGCGCTCAATGCAAAAACAATGCGCGACGTCTTCCACATTCCCGTCATCGACGAGCTTCTTGACGAACTCCGCGGTGCCACCTATTTCACCAAGCTCGATCTTCGCAGCGGATATCACCAAGTCCGCATGCACGCCGATGACATCCACAAGACGGTGTTCCGAACTCATCATGGGCATTTTGAGTTCGTGGTCATGGCCTTCGGCTTGACCAATGCCCCGGCAACGTTCCAGTCCCTTATGAACGAGGTTCTCCGCTCCTTCCTTCGCCGCTTTGTGCTCGTGTTCTTTGATGATATTCTCATCTACAAAGACGTCGTTCAGCTGCACACCGCAACACATCCGTGTTGTCCTCTCCACATCGCGCGCACAAATTACTGTTCTCAAGCGCTCCAAGTGCTCATTCACGGGAGCGCGGGTGGAGTACCTAGGCCACTTCATCTCGAGGGGGGTGGCCATGGACCTAGCCAAGATTGAAGCGGTGCAGAGCTGGCCCATGCCACGAACCCTCCTCCGCGCGCTGCGTGGCTTCCTCGGCCTCATGGGCTACTACCGCCGCGTTTCATCCACAACTACGGGCGTCATCGCAGCCCGCCACAGCCCTCTTGAAGCGGGATGCTTTCATGGAGTGACGCCGCCGTAGCCGCCTTCGACATGCTCAAGTCAGCACTGACCTCCGGTTCGGTGCTGCAGGCTTCCGACTTCACGCGCCCCCGTCACATCGATCGGCGACGCCTCGGGCTCTGGTTTCGGCCGCTGTCCTCCACCGAGCGTAGGACCGATCGCGTTCTTCACCACGTCGTGGCGCCCACACAGATGCCAAGTTGGCTGCCTACGAGCGCAAGCTCATCGGATTGGTGAAGGCCGTGCGGCGCACTGGCGGCCGTATGTTTGGGCACGACCATTCACGATCCGCACCGACCACTTCGCCCTCAAGTTCCTCTTGGAC